AATACCATTAAGTAATTGTCGATAGATAAAATAGTAACACACTGTCGATCCGATTAAAATTTCTTACCCTGACTTCCAATACTATCAACTTAAATAAACTGTTTCCGAGATAATCGTAATGCAACTACACGAGAATGTGCGCATAAATGTAGCTTGTCCAGGCGAGTTCATAAAACTGAACATTTGCGAACGGTACGAACACTTTGAAATAATAATTATTACATAACGTCTAATTTTATTCACGGCACTAACGCCAAGCACTTCATATTGGTAGAACGGCTTACGCATCATCAGATGTAAATTGCGTTCTCGGAACGCGAGTTTTATTTATCCATTGTGACGGACATTACGGTCTCGATTTGCTAACACAGTGTAATTATTTCGGTAAACGAGAATCGGAAACCCGCATGGCATTCACACGTGTACAGGTTTTTATCGTACGAGACGAGGCTGACGCATCGCACGTGCTTAGTTTACCAATCTCTACTTGCAATTTTATTTCGAACGGGAGCACAGACGATTTCAAATCGAACCATAACCGAGCAATTTTGGATATCGGGCTGTCCCTCTTTCGTGATATGAAAGATAATGGTTGACACGTTCGCGACCACGGTCAAATTTGAAATACTCTTACGCCGTGCCTTTCTTGCAAGTGTTTCACCTGATACACCTGACCCCCCTGATTTACGCGAAAATACATTCCATCTAGATTCGTTTCACAAGAATGAAAGTCACGTGAATAAAGTCTGTCAGTGCAAAAGTAGAAATATTGGAAATAAAAAATAAACATTTATTTCAAAGAGCTGAACAATGAAAATAAGGAAAAATTAAAAGTGCACAGGGACAAGGGGAATCGGCCGCACTCTCCATCTTGGTCCTTCGAAGAAACACAGTAGCCGATTTGTTGTCTGCGGGATTCGTGAAACAAAAACTTCTAGGAAAATATATTTTCTGGCCGCGTAAGAATTTATTTGCTTGTAAGTAATAAGGAGCAAGTTTACTTGTGTAGGTGCAGCGTAGGAGAGTTTTCGGGAAAAGCCGACAGTAAGTGATAAATTTTACAATAAAATGCATGGCTGTAAAACTGTTAAAGGAGCGGTTGTATTTATACACCTACGAAAGATATGATAGTAACAAACTCTCGACATGCTCCTATAACCGTTACATGTCTATGTTTGTATAATAACACTTCCGGCTTGCAAAATAGCCTTTATTTAACAGAAAAATTCGAGATTTAATCGCACTCCTCAGCGTCGTGGCCAGTGATACGGGTTCGAGGAGTGTGTAACTTTTATTTTCGAAACCCGGAGCCGACTGATTGTTTAGTAAACACTTTCATTCCTGTTGAAAACGTGAAGCGTGTTCTTGCCACGTATCATGGCGGCTCTAATTTGTCGGGAATGAAGCGTGCGATTAAGAAAGGAGAAATTAAAACTGACGCAAACTCTACAAAAAGAATGTAAGTTAGAAGAAGGAAAGCAGGTTATACATTTATGTACATAGTTGCTTCGCTATTCTTCAATTGTTCGTATAATACACAGGGGCGTGCCAAAGGGATTTGCCGACCGGGTACTATCATTTATTGGCGTCTCCTTAAACAATTGAAAAATATCATTATGATCTTTCAAGAGTTTTCTGTTTATTGCATTGGCATGTTGTTTTGCATTAAAGTTTATATAAGTTTGAAATCTTCGTAATACCAATACATATTCCTGTTGATAAGAACTTCGAATGTTGCATTATAAACGAATATCGATCGTTCGAAGTCGACAGTCCAGGAGATACGAATACTTTCGTGACTCACTGTATATAATATAGTTATATTAATATATCAATATAGTATATTTTAAGCCTTAGATATACTGTAAATTCATAATTTTTCAGAATGAAAAAATTTGATGTGTACCGCGTAAAGCAATCGTAATTTCTGATATTAAATTTGATTACTGTAGCAAGGTTAATGATGATAATTAACAACTACAAAACTTCTTCCTACCGAACACATAACAACCTTTAACAAATCGTGATTGACCAAAACCTTTGGCAATTAATGTTCACGCAACGACTAAGTAGTATTTCTTTAATTACTTCTTCTCTCTTACTTCTGTCTCTGTAATTACTTCTTTGACAAGCCTTGCGGAAGTTGTTTTTTTTTATGCAAGATCCTCTCGTCTCCGTTACTAATCGATTGGAAACATTTACATTCACGTGAACAAGATTTCTTCACGTAAGACTTCACAAGATCTTTTCCGTCGCACAGGGTTTACGTGAATAATTAGTTAGTGACGGTTATTTGTAATGCTTAAGCGGAAGAAGTAAAACAATGATTGTTACGTTCGAAATAAAAGTACATTGAAACAATACTCGAAGTAATTGCACCTTAGCATCTTACGCAATTAAAGGTACACTCAAAGAAAGCGTACCTAATTATTACCAACCATTGAAATTTTCAACATTTTGAGCAGAACCTAGTAATTATCGTAACTTCCTTCTTTCTTTACAGTGCAAGTCTGATTGACATAATATTAATTATTTCCTTTCAATGTCTCGTCACATTGAACATACCAATTAATTATTTCTAAACTGCACGAATCTGTACGAATTTATATACATAAATTATAAAAAGATAGAAGGTAAGTAAAAGAAATCAATGGAAATTTTATTTTCTTCACTATCGATTTCAATTCATTAAAAGTGAGATTAAAGTGTACTAAATTTTATTGCTGCCTGTATTATGTAAGTTTGCCATGATTTTTATATCCTATAAATATATAAAATTCTATGGCCCACTTATTATCTCTAATGAGATTTTATTCCTTGATTGTAGTGTCGTTCGAGCGAAATCATTGTCTGTTTCAAACTAAAATAACGAACGGTGGAAAGTTACACAAACGATCTACAATCGATATTCGAGAAAGGCAACTTTTCGTAAACGTTCGAACGGTAAATTGGGTTATACCGAATAAGCGTGACATTTCTTGTTGAATCTTACTACCGTTACCACTAAATGACCAATCAGAATTTTTTCGATGTTCGTTTCCCCTTCCTGTATGGTGTCTACATTTGCAGTTGCTTGTTCCTATAACATCGTTCTATACCTACGTTACGTTACTATTAAATATATGTATAATATGAATGCCAGAATATATACACAAGATTAAACATAAATTTTGTATTGAAAAATAGAAATTTATATTCTAAATATAAATTATTATAAATAAAAATGAACTATATACGTTTTATATTGTAAACATAAATTGTTATTTCTTACTTATATATTAATTATATATATTTCTTAAATAATCAAGAAAATATTTCTATCCTTTATAATTACTTTGAAATCATTTTTTACTGAAATTAATTATTTATAATATGGTAATAGATGATCATTAAAAGAACAAAAATTTTAAATTATAGGATAAAGTTTTGTTTCTACAACAAATTTCTCGGGAAGTATTACAAAATATATAGCATACTGTGTTGCAGAATTCATAAAATACATTAAAACCTATTAGTATCTATTATATATTAGTATCTATTTACTATTTATGTGAAATACGCTGACTGATGATAATGTTGATACTCTGTGTGTACTTGATTATAACATAATACACTTCTAAGAATCTTAATTCACATACTAATGCACGTATCTCAATTTATGGTTAGAATCATCATTTTTTACTTTTTCGCTTAGTATTACTAGTATCTGCACGTTGAACTATTGTACTAATATTTAAAACATTCAAATTTTATATGTACAATATAAATATCCTTCTTTTTGTCCCTCTTTTAATTATAAAAACAACTTATATTACAATAAAACCGATTCCTGTAATAGTTCTTTATTAGTGGACAGCACATTTTATTTGTTTATGATAAATATAATAGCAAAAAACATCATACAGAAGAAACTTTTAAAAAAATGTGGAATTCTGTTATTTTACTCGATTCGGATTTCTATTTAATTCCTGTTTCTAAAATTAGCTTCAGAAAACTCTAATTATGCGTAAAAGCCCACAGTCTATTCATTAACATTCAAACATTCATTAGCAGCTAAGATAAACGACTAGTATAAGTGAGTTTTATCGTATCGCGATATATTTGGATAACATTTTATTTCATTTATCCACTTTGTACTATCCAGTTTTTATGACTAAATCTTCACGTTCGTTTGCCTGCAACTATATGTAACACGGTAATCGCCAAAGCGACGCGACGCCCATATAGCCTCCATAAAATTAGAGTGATATATTTAATAAAACGGAAACTGGAAAGACAAGATTTACAACATTGATTATTCATTTAATCCTTTTAGAATCCATCTAAATTAAGATACACATTAATTGTATTATCTAAAAGAAATTCAAGAGCTCAAATCATAGGCTTAAAACACAAAACAGCGAAACCAGAAACTTATTTTACAAAAATTCAAAATTTCAGCTGTAAAATAACAGAAATAGCAATAAAATATCTTTAATTATATTGATTAAAATTTATATCTGACGGGGTTAACCTCCTCGATTCTCATAAATACCAAAAAAAAATTTGGTTCACTTGATATGTTGCAAGAAAAATTAACTTCCAAGCTGTGATGCAAAATTACGTAATATTAAAGAATTTTAATTATAATAATACACAACCTATATATAATATAGTTATAACCTATATATAATACAACCGATTGCACTCGAGAGGTGACTCTTAATCACCACTTGATTCGTACAGCAAAATTACAAAGTCTTATGTACAATACTCACCGGAAAATATTGAATATTTCTAGTGTAAAACTTTCGAGTGCAAAGGGATAAGACAGTAGTATAATAATATTATTATGATGTATCTAATAATTTAGAACATCAAGCCATCTTTTCCTTAAATAAGTGAAACAAAAGATCGAACAGAGGACGGAATCTGCTTGAAATATGTAGTCATTCGGGAATAATCCGAATGATACGATCGCAAAAGGAAATTATCGGAGAAAGGTTCCTCGAAAAACTTACGTCATTTATGGTTGAAATGAGCGGTGGTGCGTTGATCGAATGCACGATCTTCCAGAGTCTTCATTTTTCCATCGTTGTAACCGTCGAGATCTTCTGTATCATCACGGTGACAACAAGGATCGAAAGTAGCACTGACACGCACGAGCAACGCGTGAAAAAGACAAAGGAAACGGCCACGAATGGAATCAGGAACGTTCTACAGCGAAGCGAGGGTGAAGTTGCTCGATGTAATCGTATGATCTTCTCTCCACTCGGTAAATTTGTTCGCGTTAAAAGACCTTACTTCCGGTGTAATACCAGTGCACACCAATTTCGTGATCACTGCACATCAACACACTGGCGGTTTCTTCTCCGTGCGGTCGCCGTGGAACGTGGGACTAGACATGTTTCAGGAAAACCGCAATTATTGAGAATGAGTCGACGAATAAATACCCTTTCAATCATTCTTGTTCTTGTTTGATTAAGGTGAAAAAAACTAGAATAATCTCGTATACGCAAATTCGGTTGGCGACGGAAAATCTGAGTCGGTAATTGCATTGAAAACCGGAGAAAACAGCGTTTGCGATATGCGTTCACCAAAACCTGTTGAATCGGTCGTATACAATGACCGAAATTTCTATAACAACGCTATGATTTATGAAGAAATATTAATATATCTCATGAAATTTGACGAGTTGCCAATCTGGAATTTCGTGTGCAATTCTGTATGTTTATTATGGGACGATTTGTGTCGTACGACTTTATATCTTTTGTTTGTAAACATAGAATGGCCACTCGTGATGAAATTCAATGCGACATTTATGTAGGAACATTCGCGTTTATTTAGTTTTATCTCGGCAGTTACTGAAGAAATGTCTCAGTTATCCGTAATACAGTATTTCGAAAACATCAATTTGTAGGATGTCTACAAGAATGAATTCAGAGCAACGTATAGGCATGTTAGAGGACTGCTTGATTATGTTTATTGAACAAACTCACGAAGAAAATGTTGTCTATACTTTTACGCTTCTAAAAAGATGCTGGAGTAGTTTCGACAAAAGAATTCGTAACTTATGAAGTGACCAGCTTGTTATTCCGACTTAAATACAGCAGAAAATTTGTAAAGAATTTTATTAAGAGCTATATATAAGAAGGGGAGTAGTACATCAACCTAAAGGGACTCGAACAGGCGATTAGATTTGAGTGGAGTAAAATGTGTGATGCAAAATTACAAAAATTAATTTGTTGTATAGAAAATTGAATGTTCGAAGTGATTAAACATAATGGTGGTATTACAACATGTTATAAATATAATTTGTATGTTCTTTATAGTACTTTAATACAGTGTTCCTATAGAAATTTCGCTACTTTTCTGTAGATTAAATTATTATATATAATTTATAATAAGAACGTAACGGTTTTGTTAGTTCTGAGAGCATGTTTCTTTTTCTGCATCCTTCTGCTATTATTTCCTGATCACCAATCACTTACACTAACAACTTACATAACATTTTTTATTGTAAATAGTTGTGTTCTTATAGAAATTTCTCCCACTGTACTGTGGATATTCATGCAAATGTACGGTTTCGAAGATTAATTTGCAACGATGCGAGTTTTGTAGAAATTAATTTTTCATAAACATTTATCACAGATAGATCGAATACCTAATTAGAAGAAATAATTCTATAATTTAAAAACGCTCTGACAAATAATAATTAAGAAGAATCAATGTCTCAATTTCAGAAAATGATAGAAGAATTAGATTAATTCGAATTTCCTTCACTTGACAGATGTCCACAATTTAATTCCGTCAGTAATGTTAATTGATCAAGTAATATGTTGAAGAGATTCAATAGAAAGTGAACGAAACCTTCTTAAACATTTTATTGGGGATACTTATGTACACACTAGCGTTCAAATATCTATATTATCACTTGCAGATTGTGTAATTATATTAAAGAAAATAAATATTTTCTTATATTTTTAATAAATGTTATTTCACACATTTTTAATAATTCCGACGCGAATGATCAGTAACTTTTTCCTACATTCAAATTTATTCTCTCACTGAATCGATGATGCAAAGTTGTGTCTGCAAGCACGTTTAAGTCTTATGTCATTTTTATTTTTTACTGGTACATTTACTTTAGGTGTTTTAAAGTTATTCCAGTATCACGTGTACCAAATATAAATGTTTTTAACGATCTGTAGGATATACATGCATATAGAAATATTGTAAATTAATTTAAGTTTAAGAACATCTCAGCAAATTTGATTCGTAACTTTATTTTAATGAAATTGGTACTTTAAGATAGCTTCAGGATAAAAAAAGAAAAAAAATAGTATAGTAACGTATTCATAAGAACTAAACTCAGCTATATAAATCTCTACTATATATTTAATACTCAACTCACGTATATTTTCGTTAATCCTTATAAAGTATTCGTGTCGTCATTTATATACCAATGATTCTTTTCTTTCAAAAATTACCATATATCGGTACACGTGTATCAACAATAATGAAAATAACACATTTAACAGTAAAGTCTGTTAACAACTGAAACTTAACTATAAGAACAAAATACTAAAAATAATATTAAATTAAAATTCAACAGATAGAAAGTAATTTTGCAATAACATATTTTTAATTAATGTTTTTCTTACTATTTTTAATCACAGAAGATAAGTTTCAATGATAAACAATTATATAACATAAAAAATATTTAATTATATAATTTATATTTATTAAAACTATTTAATTTATATTTTAAAAAAATTGTGATTTATTATCTATTAATAGACTTTAAATAAAAGTTAATTAATATAAGCTCGAAGTATAACGAAGCATCTAAATTGATGATATTAGTTTAAAAAATATGTAAATTGACGAACACATGTACATATAAAGATCCTTTTGCTTCAAAAAAAAGTATATACTGTATACTATTATGTAAATAAATCAGTTTAGTGTGCCATTTAGCTTAACCACTCTCAACACTAAAAGATAACTATTCAAAATAACTTGACTAATTATGATGGCAATGAAAAACTCCATGTAAAGTAAACATTGATAAATTAGGTTTTGGTAAGCGAAATACTATTTCTCAAAAATACCACATGCACTCCTTTCTTCTCGTTAATTATTTGACATTTAATTAATTACTTTTGAGACCGTGTACATTTTCTCAAATAATATGTAGTATTTTAAAATGTATAACAATAGGATATACATTTTCTTCACTTTATTCTACAATTCTCAAATATAAGAATTGATTAAACTGCAATAATAAACACCACCTACATTTATTTGATATTAGAACGACATAAGATAACACAAATTTAAGAATAATTACTTTACAAGTTTCATTATTAGACTTCAGGCCTTATGACGTTTTTAATACTCGCAAACATGTAAAAAACGATAAATCAATATATTGTAGTCATGTTCGAAAAAGTTTATGAGTTCATGATTTTATTGTCGTAATAGTGACGTCTATAGTCAATTTGATTTCGTCTAAAAAAAATTCAATAAAAGTTTATATTTGCATAAAAATCCACAGTTAATTTGTTATTACGTGATATATATATGAAAACAGTCAGAAGAATTTCGATAATTGTACGAAAATGGAAGTGAAAATGTATGTAGGTGTTAAGTATCATGCAATCATCATTAAATGCCTGGAATTTAGATCGTTTAAAAACTTAATCTAATATTAATCTAGAACTTAATCTAGAATCTAATTTAGAATCGTTTTGATTGCATACTGTGAACTTGAGTCACACTCAATAATATTTTTCATTAGTTTCATACTCAATTAACTATTTTTTGTAGAACTGTTGAAAGCAAACAAAATGACTGTATCTAAGATTTTAGTGTTAATGAGGTAAGCAATCAGCCGCATAAGACCTTCCACTTACAATAATCTCTCACTGTTTAATAGTTACACATACTTAACCATTGCATGGTAAGAGTGGCCATACGTTACGTCAAATAAACAAAACATTTGTTTACCAATATGTGTAAACATTGATAATTAAAAACTTATTCATCGGGTGGTGTAATATTGTAATAAAGTAAGTGTAAATAATAATTGAATTTAGATAATGATTTAGATACGAATAGTAATAGGTTAATTCAATCTCACAATGGCTTAATTAAAAGAGTTCGAAACATCTGACCAACTGCATTTGAACTTATTTTTACAAGTTTGTTTTAAACAACGTATTATTAATTATTTAAACCTTCAGAACAATCACATATAACTTTACCATTATTTTCAAATTACACGTTAACATTTAACACAATATATCATTTCAAAGAATACTAATATTATTTTTCAGACAAATGTACTCATAAATTATATAAAATATAAAAACAAAGATTTGAAGATCAATTTCTGTCACGTGGATTACAAACAGAAAAAAGAACCAATGTAACACATGTTCGGTAAGAATTGAATGATCCTTTATTACGGGACATTTTAAACAGTATACAACAGTTAAAAGTATTCAAAAATCTATATTCAATCATGATCATCGAAAGTTCTAAAATATCATGATGTGCCTTGGTTGCAATACGATTGGAATCTATGTTTCTCCTGTTGCTATCGCTTTCCATTTTATTTATTCGTAGCAAAGCGATCGTGGCTACCATGTGTTACCGGAATGCAACAAACGAGGTTCACTGGCAAGTTATCGAGGTTCTACCGTGAGGCAGGTTACCACGAGTGACAACATCGGAGGTTTAGCAACGGCTGTGAAACTCCCGCTTCCTGACACCAGAACCGCGTCTTGGGAGCCCGAACGCGTTCACCGTCAAAGTTTCATATTCACCTTAGACAGACTAAACAAAATAACCTGCATACACAACCATTTGATTCTGATATTTCTTTGAAAAGCAATATCATTGTCAAACTAATTTTCAAATATCAATTTCGAAGATACAAGCGAGAATAAAAATAATATTAGATGATTACATCAGTTCATACAGTCTTTGCAGCACTTTATTGTTATTCCGATTCTTATATCTTTAACTCCTTCTCCTATAGTATCTTGTTAGACTCGTGACGAAACTTTTCTATTATCAATCTTTAACCTTTCGAGTACACGTAGAAACAGGATAAGTGTAGAATTCTTTTCTTCTTCTACTAAATTGTTAACGATAAAGTAGTTTTATCGGGCACGCTTGTGAAAAAAATTATAGGACAAGGGATTAAACGTTCAAATGATCAATGGTAGTTTTAACAATCTTTTCTGAATGTTATACGAACAAAATTGTTGCAGTAGTTATTTTAAGTCACTTATGCTTACATTTCGACTACTGAAATTGAATTTTCGAAGTAAATTCAGAAATACAATTTTAGGTTGTATTGCATGTTGTCCCATATTGTCAAATGGAAATAATTTTTAACGAGTTGTCAAGCTAAAAATGGTACATTAGACACGAATTCCTTCCAAACTGACGTTAACCGTCAAATACCGTAAATACATCGAAAGCAAATAAAACGTACAAACACTAAGCACCAATACGATCATACCAAGAATACCTGACAATTTTGTCCAACTATTCTACAGTCCTTCTAGAGCGAAGTATTCGACATAGCCACGCATCCTCGAACGCATATTCGCATTCATAAATCTCATTAATCACCGTATGGGAAAGACAACGACGGACAGCTGTCGCAAAGACAACCAGCAGGATATGCAAGTACACCGATCTCAAAAAACGTACTCAGAAACAGTCAGGTGTACTCAACGAAACACAGTGAACGCATCCTTTTCTCCGGTTTTCCATCGTTCTCCGTCCAGCTCGATATCTGGCACAAGTGCACCGTACGCCGTGCACATACGGAGGACGTGCACTTTCGCTGTCGTTCCGCGGCGAACTAAGTCTGATCCTGGCACAGTGCTGAGTATCCTTACGCGCAACGTATTCCCCGGTATCCTGAAGCAAGCCTGCCGCGAATGTCAGCACCAGTTGGCCTCCTTTCTATTCCGTTTCCTTCCTTCGTTTCGAAATCGAAAAACGAAAAAAAGAGGGAAAACAAGAAGAAGAAGAAGAAGAAGAAGAAGTAGAAGAAGAAGCTGAAGATGATGATGACGAAGAAGAAGGAAGAAGAAGGAAGAAGAAACGATTCGTACGAGCACCAAGTTTTCAAGCGCTTCTCTCTCTCGACCCGGAAGTTTTCGCGCTACGTAGACTCGAACTGGCGGGCATTTCTTCGCGCGTCACCCTCGCGACACCCTCGCACCGAAAACTCCGCAACCCCTGGCAGCTCCTCGATCAGACGTCGTCCCGGGGTTCGATCGTCAAAGGACCCGGGCTCGGTTCGCTCTCGCGCGCGGTATACACGGGGTTGTGAGACGCAAAAGGCGGCGGAGAGCACCGCGGGATTGGAAATTAATGCGAATGCGCGAGCGGACTCGGTCTAACTGCGGCCGACGATACCCGTCGACGTCGGTAGCAAAAGTAGAAGGTGGGGAACGGAACCCGGGAACGGGGACCACTCGGCACTGGCGATTGTGATTGTTGCACGGCCGTACACGTACCGTGCATGCTACGGGCAGAAGGTTGCCTCAGCGCCGATCACTACGCTACTGGCCATCCGTTCGTTTCAAAATCGGGAAAGTCACCGATCCGGGAGAGGTTGTCCTTCTCGAAACCCTCTTTCGGTACCGATGGCCTCAGTCGCTTTGCACGCCGACGATCGAGTTTCTGCCGATTACGTTGACATCCCCGCTTCCTCGCGTTCCTCTTGATAACTCCGCTGCCAATCGGTTTGGCTGTCTTTCGACAGCCGGAGCTTCGTGGTGTTCAGCTGACGTGGCTGTCAGTTGACAAGTAAATGTTGGTGGTTTGAGAAAAATGGGAAACGAAGCTGATCCAATTGATCGTGGTCGAAGGAACGAGTTGCACTGCGATGGATGCAGTGATTTTTATGTATTTTTGGATAGTTAACTGTGGGGGAATTTTAGGATATGTGTCACGATGAAGTTTTGGGAAATTGCTACCTATATTTGTTTCGATTTGTTGCTGTTTCGTTTGCGGAAAATGTATTAATAAAATAAACCAAGGTAGTAAAGGTTCTCCGGAATTAGGTGTTCAAGGATTAACGTTTCGCGAATAAAGATTTGTTAACAAGTTATTCGATAACAATTAAGTCGGGGAAAATAGAAGTAATACAAGCTACATTTTCTTGAAAATTGAGACATTAGTGAAACCATGCTGTTTGTATAGACAGATACAGGTACTAATTTATACAATGAGTGTAGGAACTACTTAAGTCCTTTGCTTACGTAAGCACGCCTTTGTAAAATTAATTCAAGATAATGTGGAATTCTAAGAATCCAATAATCATTATACCTTCCCTGTTTATATACAGAAATTACAGTTTTTTCCCAGACTGCATATCTATACAAATAATTTAAAGAGATACATAAAACACTAATTATGTAAATAAATGAACACCAGAAATATTCTCTTATTACACCGACTATAAGGATTACACATTAATCACATTAAACACTCGATAGTTAGAATGTTGAACAATTTTTTAATCAGAAATCCTTGCTGCCTTTTGTTGAGAATTCCCATTCTTTTGTAGGTCTTGAAAATAGTAAAATGGACTAAAATAAAAAAGATAATTGAATAAATATAAATATAAATTTCTACTTTCTGAAACAAAACTACACCCAATCCTCGATTTACACGAAAATCTGTTCCACATGGATTCGCTTTACACGAATGAAAATCGCGTAAACAGAGTCTGTTGGTGCAAGACAAACCAAGATATTGAAAACAAAAGCTGGCATAAGTTTTAAAGGTACACCTTTATTTCGCATAGCCAAACAAAAGAAATAATAGCAATGACATTTCAAAAATCAAAAGTACCTTTTACTCGGTGTTACTAAATTCAGATCACGCGTAAGAACTACCGCGTAAATAGTGTTCTAATCTACCGTGTAAAAAGGAGACTCGCATAAACAAAGTCCGCATAAATCGAGAGTCTAGTGTATATTTCTTAACACTAACCGTACCGGCACTTTTCCTATCATAACCAGTCAAATAATTGACTATTAAATGAAGGTAAACAAATGGAATCAGAAACGAAAGGGAAGACAAACATTCAAAAACTGATTAATTCGACAATGTAAAATTGATATAATATTATAATGATCGAAAGACAACGCAGAATTGTAAATCCGGTCATTTGATCGATTCCCGGTGCGGTTAGTGTTAAGAAAATCTGTTAAAATGTGTGTCAGAATTTTCATAAGGATTACATGTTAATCCCATTAAACGCTCGACAGTCCGAGTGTTAATCCACCGAACGCGTCGCGTTAGAATTGCTCCATTCGAACCCCTACCCCGCGCGTTCGCGTGTTCTCAACGGTACCAGACGCCCCACGTTCGCCAAGGGAAAAGCAAGAACGACATTGCGGATCGGACGGCCGGAAGAATCTCTAGACTCCGCGTGCCGGACCGAATCTCTCGCAATTAGGTTTAAGTTTAGTCTTGACGAGTCCGCGTCGAGCCTAGCCAAGAGAAAATGTGTATCCTGTCCAGCCAAGGGGAAGAGAAAAATCTCGCTCGTGTATCCGAGCGAGGGACAAAGAGCCACGCGAGCGGAGAAGGGAAACGAACCGGAGACTTGCGATTAGAGGCGATCGTTTTCCGGTTTTCCGTTCGCGAGCTATAAACTGCCGGCTGCTCGCTCCTGCTTTTTCCTTCCTGCTCGCTCTTTCGACCGGGCCCAGCGCGGCGCGTTCCGTTGCTCGGATCAGCTCGCCTCGTGAGAGGGAAAGTATTTTATACCACGCTTGGCTTGGCAAGAGAAAGGGGACACGGTTCGCTCCTAATTTCTGTTTTAAGTCGGTGAACCTATATATTGTGGCCGAGCGTGTAACTCGACTCGCTGGCTGGCTGGCTGCCTGGCTGGCCTGTAGGTGCTTACCTACGCGAACCAGAGAATACGGTTCGTACGGCGTGCAGTGTGTTCCACACACTGGTCTATGGTACAGGCGGCATTATTATCGTTCATATCGTCTCGTAATGGCTTCGGCTGCGATACCAGCGAGCGCAAAACGAATGAAAGAAAGGAACAGGCCGAGCGAGCGACGCGGACGAGAACGGGCCGCGTTCCTGTCGGCGAGACGAGGATGCAGCCTCTTGACTAAAAGTGAAATCGTCTGTACACCGACTTGTATCATAGCCGTTATTATATGTTATGCCAGGCTTCGGACGACTTGAAACCACGATTACACCAGCTGCGCCGGGCTACGCGAACGCGTGCGCGACCGGATATCGCGTCCCGCATCCGTTTCATCGGGAAGTAGGTAAGGATCGTCGCCGGCGAAACCAAAAATAACGCTGGCGATTACTTGCCCGTGAATACGCTCGATCCTACCGAGAAATCCGTATATTGTTTCCAGCTGGTAGCCCGGGTAAACACAAGACGCAGGTATCTGCGTTAATTACAAAAGTGAAAGTATGGGTCATTTACGATGCTAGAGACTGTGTATGGATATACACGCGTATATGAAATAAAAAGAAATCTGGCTGCCTCTTCTTTCTATTCCCTTTACGTAATTGCTCCTGATGCTCTTCCTGCGTTTCGATTATTCACGCGGTGGGACCGGGATATTCTAGTAATGAGAGCCTTGAATTATTTTATTTCTTAACGCTAGATTTAAGGACGTTTACTGTATAATTTTATCTATTGTTCTTAGAAAAATTGATATTCGGTCATTTAGATTTTAGGAATTAGAGGTTTAAAAGTAGACAATTAGGATACACATCTGTGTAAATGCATGAATAAAAATCGATCCAAACATTTACCAAGTAACGTTTATAACATTCGGTGTGAGTCAAATTGACTTGTTCCGAAAATCTAGTGTTAAAGTCCTCTGGTGATCATTTGTTTGAAGCGAAAAATATAAATTGAAGTTTGAAGTAATTTTTTATGCATTATATTCGAATATCTTTGCATAACAACTTTAAAGGTAAGTTAGAAATGGTGTCTTTACTTTGTGTCTACTTATAATATATTATTTTTCAATTGCTTTTTATTTGCATTAATGATTCAAAAAGATGAATAATCTGTAATTAAACGATGGAAATATTGAATACTTTTAAAATTATTAATACCTTATTTATTGTTCCATTAGAAAAATTAAATGAAAAGATTATTTTTTTTTAGGTTGTATAATTGTATCGCATAGAAACGTATTACATATCACATATCACAATTATTTTCATACAAATAGATCCTTTTAAATCAGACTTTTTGTTACTTCAATATTTATTTTGTTATTGTACGTTAAATGCTGACTAACAAAGGTATATGACAATCTAACATTGCTTTCGTTTCCAAAAATTCTTTTTTTTTAAATTGAACTAATTCAATCCCAATTTTTCATTTATTAAGAATTATATTCCTTTTATAAATCAATGTAAAGAAGAATAAAATCACCAAAAAACATTCGTTAAATAAAGGCTGTATCACTCTAATAATTTACATTAAGAAGTCATAATAATAATTTCAAAGCAATATTAAAAGTCACGTGTTTGAAGATTATTATAACTATGAGTTTTTAAAAAATGTTACGCTCGTTACGATCATAGATGACACCACTGAGGTAAACGTGTATTATTTCGTTTGATACGCGATCACAGGCTTACAAGTCAATGTCGAACGCCTCGACAACTTACTCAACGTACATCCATGTTGGTTGGGTTGCCATTGTCAAGGAGTTTTTTAATCGTAAATAACTTTCAATTAATTTATGAAAATTAAATTTTAATATTTTCTATATGTTTCTAAACATGAATCTTCAAGTAGAATATTAATTAATCGTATCTAAAATGATTATTTAATTATTTTACTGGTACGTGATATCAATTCAAAACTGACAGCAAATTATTTATTGTCAGTATCTTATTTCACAGTTCTTAAAATTAGTAACTAAATAATGCTAATCCTATTTCTATCATTTTCCTGTGAAAATATTAAAAGTGACTCTGTTTTTACTTATGCAGAGTCGTTACTTTTACAAATTGTGCAATAAAGTTCATACAAAAAACGTTTGAAAAATAGTGCACACACGCTTTCATGTAAACCTGTATTTAAAAAATCGACTGTGGTCTACCTAGTGTACGTAATCCCTTAAAACACAAGGACAATGGCGTTATGTCTAACAGTAATTGCCCTGAAAATATTTATAGTCGGCCGTAATACTATAACAATATGTATTTAAAATATAATAACAATCAACATAATATAACAAATGATCAATAATTGTTATATAACCAAGACGGTTGAACGGTGCGCTACTAATAATACATATTAAACAGTAAATTTCCCAAAACCTTGCATAATCAACATTTCAATCTGATCTATAATCATTCAAGTTGTTTCCTCATTAAAAGTACGATAAATGATTAAATTATGATTATATCTCGACATCTTTTCAATACCCACACTTTTATATATAAATTGTGATAAATCTCTCAATAATTGTTTCATAAGAACACGGCTTTATTTCGTACGTCAAATCTTGATTGATCTGTCTACCTGGCAGGAAACTCTCAGAACTTATTCATCTCCGTGGATATTTATAAATATATGAAACTCGTGGTAAGAATTTTTATTTATAGCTACTGGTTACGTGCGGATCACTTGCGTCAAGAATGATTTTATATCTAAATCAACGAAGAAAAGAAGAATATTAATTCTGTACTTATCGACTTTGAAAATTGTCGCAGATAAATCGCTATAGATAGTGGAATTAGGGAAACCCGTGTAGCTCCACCGAGATCTCATTTTAATTTAGAACATATCGATACTTGATAATGGTATACTTCAAGTAATAGGCGCAACGTAGAAATTTTTCCACATTTTTCGAATATCATCTGAAGTCATAGGACACATTTAATAACTGATAAATTCATTCTGAAAACTATCTCTGTACATCTGTTTTTGAATAAAATCTTTAACACATTGATTGCCATGAAAGGACGTCAGCATTTTTAAATGTATTCGTAAATGTTTAAGTCGGGTTTGATCGATGCAATCACACGAATATGTATCCTAATTGTCTATTTTTAAATCTACAATTTCCAAGAACTAAATAAATGAACATCATCTTTTCTAGAAAGTAAGCAGAATAATGTTTTGAGGTACAGAATGATATATTTTAATCTTGTATTTTAAGTTTGTATTACCTATTTCAAACATTTTTTAGTAAATAAAGTAGTAGTCTAACGCAAGAAATCATAATGCATGGCGAAATAAATTTATTTGTAATTTAACACGTTGCCTGCTACTAAAAACATCAGTATTTCATGTATCCCTTATTCTTTTCCTAATGGAGATAAAAATAAAAATGATTTGGTGTCACGATTCTTACGTTATACTATTATGTAGTTATTTATGCTACTGAACTATGTTATTCATGCTTACTCAACATCGACGTCTTACAAGTTATAATTATTTCCTTGTAATTTGGAAGCTACGGTCATCGGTTACTGTCATGACAGTCAACGTATTAATTGATTTTTAACTAGGTTTACGGAACGTGACAATTTAGCGCACTATTGCATTTTTTTGAGTTTTATAAACATTATTTAGTAAACCTTTACGTTGATTTTGATTGGCGCAATTACACGAATATGTATCACAATTATCTATTTTTAAACTTCAAATGTTCAAGGTCTAAATGAATGGACATCCACTTTTCTAGCAGTAATAGAATAAATTGCACCATAAATGTCCATGAACTTAGTGAAATATCTAGTCTCCAAACTTTGAAGTATTGTAAAAATGAAGCTCACCGAGACTAAGTTTGCTTAAATATACATAATTACATAATTCACTATTCCAAATCCCTGTTCTAATACAGGCCATTAAAATCAGATGTTTCTTAAGACGTCAGTATTATCCTATGAGTTGCGAAACTCTCTGAACAAAGTGATCTATCCTGTACTGCGCGTTTGACAGAAAATAGTAATTAAGAATAATTTTTAAAAATCCATGCAATTACAAACGGCATGCATGCCAAAGCACTTGAAAAAGCCCCCATCGATCAACCCTTTCAGACTTGTGTATTGTTACTTTTGTTATTTTAAAGTTGAAATTTCAATTTATGTACAAAAAGACACAAAATGATGTTGTTAGCGCCAATTTTTGGTAAAACGGATTTCTAATTTTTTTTATTTTTCAGTTGAAAATGTTGGATAATTTAATTATCGTATCGTCCTCTATTTCTGTAAAATACTAAAAGCAATATATATTACAATGTTATACCAATTGTAAGAAATTGAGAAAAACGCGTAAGTATGTAAGATACATGCAAATGTTTAGAACATTTAAAACGTTATTCTATAAAACACGCAACACGCTAAAAAAGAAATAATTCTTAAAATTATTTTAAAAGACTTTAGAGTCATAAAATATCTTTTTAAATGTCATATAATATTTTTTTCTATTATTTTATAAATGATGAAAAGAAGAATTCAGTGACTTAATAATACTTTCTGAAAGTACCACCAAGTATATACTGTAGTAATTTTCTGCTTAATATAGTCTAATGTTACAGATTTTCTGTATTGAACCATATTTACGTTTTACCTTCTTCATACAGATAAAAATATGATAAAATGAAATTGAAGGCACCAATTAGCAATAGACAACTAAAACTTACAGCTAATATTGTTTTTATAAATCTTAAGTAACATGCTGCCCAGCTGCAATATAAAAGTCGCATACAATAACATTATTTTGAAAAAGTGAAATATTTTTAATAGTAGACGTTCATAAATTAGTAAAGTAAATAAATTAGCAATAGTAGACGTTTTAATAGTAGTACGTTCATAAAAAATAGCTTTTATTTATCTCTTTCCTTTAACCATATTGAATATTATATACGTTAGTTACGTACGAAATTGAATAAATAATCATCCAAAATAAAACTGTAGCTTTTTACTGAATTTGATTAAAATGATGAAAATGAGCCAGAGAAAAACAGCAGAATATAATGCGAATTATTTAACTTTGATAGATTTATAAATCAAAATATTTTGGTTTAAATATAAATTTCAGTGATAAAATCAAACTTGATCTAATTATAAAATGCGTAGAATGATTTAATTAATACGACGTTTTCAAATTACTTATCGCGTTATCAGACAGAAGTTCGATGCTATTGCGTCTTTTAACGTTTACGTTACCGGTTTCTCGAAACTGCTTTATAATTTTTTATTCCCTGTGATATGAAGGACGTATTTACACGAGTTGGAAACCTTCATGCATACAAACCTAGTGTTTCTTGTAAAAATGGATTGACTTTCACTATACATTAATGCAATACCTTTGCCTACGCTGTGCAGTGCGGCCTTATCCGAGTAGGGCTTTCGTGAGCAAGAGCTATCTTTCAAGCTTGCGAACTATATAATTACGCGAAGAGTGAGCAAAGCTTATAGTGGATTAGTTCCACACTCATAAATTATCTCACCACAAATCTATCTTTTTATGGAGAATGGAATTACGCATTTACCTCAGCAACGTGATACCTCTGATTAACACACTTATTAACACTATTTTCAAACAGAAGCACTTATTGCCAGATTAAAATATAATACTTTCGGATTAAATTATGACGATATTTCATTATAGACCGTGTTAGTACTGACAAACTTTTCTCGGAATTCAACAACGCGTTTTAAAATCGTGTAGTGTAAAAGTCACTTTTGCATAATTATAATTGTATCGATACGTATCCTGCAGCTAATCCTTTAAGTCCTGAAAATACTTTAAAGTATCTACCAAATTTACCGAAATGCTGTGATGATCCAAATATGCTTGCGATGTATTGACGAAAATGGCCGAAATTTCATGATTTGAATTCAATTCTAAGTATTGTTCAAATTTAAACTTACTTCCTATTTCTAATGTCATTCTAAGGTCATGAAGTCATAGGTCGTTGAACTCATTTTGGCATTGACTAAAATATCGCACAATATAACGCTAGTGTTCATAGGACAAATGACGACGATAACCTTGAAATAACCTCTACATTGACCTTGGGACAATCTTTTTATCACTAAATAGACATTTTGAGTACATGTATACTTCATGTCACCCAACGCATGTCTCCCAACTGTTTCTTTTTATTTTAAGAAGTGTTGCACTTCTTCATTAAAAACTAATCATCAAAAATGTCCAATAATCCTAGAGACAATATATTAGATATTGTAGCAGAAATTCGAAAATTTTACCAACAATAAAATCAACCATTAAATAGCTCACAGCTATGTGAATACATTTAAAATACTCATACCAGATTAGTTATTTTAAAAATCTATCCTTCTTACCAAACTGTAATTGGTTAATTTTAACAATATCGTGAGTAAAGAGTTGATCAGTTGATAAATACCCCGATTGTGGGGTGTATTAAATTAGCGATTTTTCGATAATAATTCATTTCTCCGAATTTAGGGGCAAGAAATTATTTTTTTTCTCCAAATTAGTTTATCAATTTATTAGTTTTTTAAGTTTTAGCAGCTCGGCAGATTTATCCCTGTAAAGATAAAATAAGCAAATATCAGAAGGAATCAAATTTTTATGATCAAGAGTTATTAAATCGGATTTTAGATTTAGTAGAAAAGTACTTAATCTTCCCTGAGCACTTTAGAACAATTAGTAAATAATCCAAACAAGAAATAGTTGTCCGAAGTTATTCTATTATCCACGACTACTATTCATAGTGTTAAGTTAATAAATTTATTAGTAAAATTGAAAGTTTCCAGCACTGTAATTAAATGATCGCTTACAAAAAAGAAACTATTTACATCGCACATTACTAAATAACTTTCATAATAATAATCTTTTCCATATTTTCAATGTCTTTGAATGATTAAAACGCATCTAGCTAAGAGGAACATCTGGTAAGTACTATGATCGCGCAGTTTCTTGCTCGCATTCACCTGAAGTCGTTATAAATTTCAAGTTTCTTCAAAATTTCATGACATTGCCCGCATTTTTCCAAAGATCATTTTGGAGTGTAAACTTCAGCAAGTTGATTGATATTTTGTTTTACCAGATGGGATTATGAAAACAACGTCATATATAAAATTAAATGTTTATCTTCAGATATTATCACATGTATATTCAATCGTTAAAATTTGTATTATATGTATAGGAAAAACCACTTTAACTTTTAAAGTGATTGAACATGTTAAGTTATTTATTTGATATAAAGATAACAGGGATGAAAATAGATGGTGTGTCTCGTATTATTTTTTAAAACGTTATACATAAGCATGAAAAATGTGCACTTACCAGTAAATTTTTGTTTCATTATAACTACATACAGATATTTTTAAAAATACAGAAAATTTATTGAAATATTAAGTAAATTAATGGAATATCAATTTAGTTAATTCCAAAAAAATTACCAAGCCCAAAAGCCTCTAGTGGTAAGTCTAGAAAATACTGCTGTTACAAGCTTTTGAGCTTTGTTAGAATTACATATAAATAGCTAATTAAGGTATTTGAAATTACATAAGTTTATGCATAAATAAGATGCTCTTTAGTAATGTCCTTTTTACAAAATGCAAAATGAACTCAAATTCTTTGAAAATTTGCATTATTTATTTGACGCTCACATGCATTAGTGCGTCAAAATGTTTTTAATTGAAAATGTTTTGATTTTAATTGTACTATTATTTCTTACTTGTTTCATTAAAGTAATCATCATTAACGAAACTAAAATCACTCACGAAAGCTTCAGCACTTGCGCATAATTAGTACGTTCTCATTATACAGAATTTAAACCACGTATTGGATCATTGGATGTTAAAAAATTTACATCATACGTTTGTTTATCCAATATTGTTTGTAAAGCACCAAAGCCATATACAGTTTAAAATTGATCAATCATGTAATACCAAAACCTTGATCATAAAAACGAATATCAATTGCCCACGTGTCGATGTTCTTAGGAGCCAGATGTGAGGACTTCTGTATTGACTTTGATAACGAGATTCTTCAATATAGAGTTGGTAATCAGAGCATATCTTTCAGGTGATACGTAACACGAGAATGTATATAATTCACTACTTGAGATTTGTAATTTCAATACGTTTTACGATAACGTTCAAATCTTGAAATTTTTAAATCAATGAACTTGAATTTATTAACGTGTTATTGCACGCTACCGCCTTTATTTTTTACTTTTACGTCATATGATACGTTACGTTTAAATTAGTAATCAGATAAATTGAATTATCGAAAATTACCGAATAGTATATAGATTCCTGTAAACAAAGAGAGATAGGAAATGAAAGTAATTTTATAGCTCTTGTATATTTCATTACATGTATTCAAACGTTAATAATAATTAATTAACAATAATAATAGTCGACATATAATACAATAAGAGTAATAATTAATTAAGAAACTAATTATCTTCCTTTTCTGTGACAGCTGCCTCAATGCCCTAAAGTTCCTAGCAATCCTACAGAGTTCATGATCCGTTTTATTGATATTTAAAATAAACAAATTTCAGGAGAGTAGAAATATTTGTTTTCTTTCACCAGAAGTTGGACACGTACGTCATCTTCATTGTTTACTAGTTAAATTTTTCTTTCGTCTTTTTTAACATTTTTTCTTCTTTTTCTTCTAACCACGAGTTAAATTACAGTAATCGTTTAAATAGCTTTATGTATAAATAATTCAACACTAAAACCCTTTCACAAAATTACTACTTTTTATCTTTTCGTTAAATCATACGAGTAGTATTTGCATTTAAACAGATGTTAGAAAATTCGCATGAAATTGTTACCATAAGCACATGGACGTCGAATCGTTCATAAAAACACTCGCAAACATTGCAATGATTACTTTTTGTAGCTAAACCTTCCACTAACTCATACTAATATGATTTATATAAAAAACTGCGTCAATATTTATGTTAAACGTGCAAATCGTAAATACTTACGAAAAACTTTAGTAAACAGTTTCCTAATGATTATAAAAGCTTATATGGAATATATAAGAAACTACGTTTCTACAAAGATATAACGAAGGCTCTTATAGAAATACTCCAGTAAGTCATGCAGCAGAATATCGTCTACAATATTTTTATAATTATTTTTCAACAGTAATCGGAAAATCTGATTTACTTGTGTATTACTATAATTTATACACTTTATCCCTCAGCTATTTAAAAACAAGATAAACGTACTATCATTTAGAAACGGAAATAATTTGCACGTTCTATATATTGAATTAGAAAAGAAAAATATATAAATAATTTCTTTCCTCAACAATGTCACCAATTGTTAGTAATGTTCATATATATTAAAGCTTCAAATAAAGAGGGAGATCAAAAGTAGTATGTTTTTTTCCTTTTAAGCTAACAAATAATATAACATAAGCAATGATAAATGTACCAACCTCAAGAAAAATATCTAATTCGAAGCTGTGTCATGATCGTACGTTTAAAATTAAAAAAAATAATCCTTTGCAAAAATGCTGAGCACATTTCAATGAATCTGCCGTATTCACAATATGTTAATTCAGAGGATCAACTTCAACATAGTCGTAAATGAATGATGTATTAGTAGTATCAGCTAAAATTTCAGTCGACGTCAATTCAATGTTTGGATTACGCCATGCATTGATATCAGTTCCCCCAATATCCAGACCGAGTCGTAAATTAGCCGGTGTATTGCCAATAACAAAATGATCTTCAGTCAAAGGCAAAGCGTCTTTTAAAAGAAGCCTGTAAAACATATGGCATATACAATTAAAAAATATTATAATTAAAATGCTTTCAGCAACTACACATATATAAAAAAAATATAGAATTATTATATAATATCGTACCAAATGCTTTCTTCAGCGACGATGTGAACCTTTGGTACAGGGAATCCATTAAATGGAGAAGCAACAGGTAATGTGTATGCTCCCATATTTTCAAAAATTATCCAATCACCAAGATCCATTTCATGCAATAAAATATTTTCCGCAACTTGATCTAGACCATCGCAAGTGGGCCCCCAAATACTTGAAGGAATCATCTTACCATAACCTTTCTGTTAAGATCAATATGTTATTAATCATTAATAAAAAATAAATTGTTCTACAATTGTAATATCGAAATGTTATTGAAAGGATTTTTATGAAAAATACTAAATAACGGTATAATAAACAATTACACATATCTACCTTTAAAGGTATAGGAGTAACATGCTGATGATCATAAAGTAGGCAATTGAAGGAACCATAAACGCCATCATTGATATAATACATATTGTGCGTGATTGTGGTTGGTGAACTTTCCTCACCACGCACTGATCGTTTGCTATGAATATTTGTAGCAAGTGTAAATGCGGAGGCAACATAAAATCGACCAGGCTCAGCGATTACATGAACAGCATCAGCTGAAAATTATCAACTTTCAAATAATACTGAAAATAAAAACGAAACAAAATAAAAACGTTTTAAATATATTAATTACTTACTGTTAAAATACTCGTCAAGTGCTTTATTAATAACATCAGCAATTTTATCAATATTGGTACCCTTATTTCCTGGATAACCACCGCCGAGATCTAATAGATATGGCTTGAAACCAAGATCTGTAGCCAAATCGAACAATGATTTGGCGTGTCGTATAGCTCGATAAAATACTGGTGGATCTTGACAACCAGAACCAACATGGAAACTGATACCAACAACATTAAGTCCTAACATACGCGAAAGACGCAAAAGATTAGGTGCTTCATATATGGGATCACAACCAAATTTCATGCCCAATTGACACTGAGCAACTTCTGCGTCACAACGAATTCTAATAACAATCTGAAATTAATGAATTATATATTAGCTGCATTAAAAGTACATAAATCTATGTACATGAAATAATGTAGAATATTAATTGTAAAAAAGGAAGGTATATTTTATTACCTTCGCATCTAAATGAAGCTTTTTAATTTTATGTAGCTCGCTTTCATTGTCCACTGTCATTACATCAACTCCAACTGCAGCAGCATGGCGAATATGAGATGCAGGCTTAGCTGGATTGGCAAATATAATTCTTGATGGGTCTACTCCAACGCTTAATACTTTATTAATTTCCGTCTGAAAATAATTATAACAAATACATGTTCAATCTTTCTCTTTGGATAACCTATTACTACCTACAGTATTACGACTAATATTTAATAATACTATAATGTCTAATTACTTACTTTTGATGCACAATCAAAACCAATACCAAGAGCAGCTAGTACTTCAATTACAACTAAATTATCATTGCATTTCACGGCTAAAATTTAAAAGAAGACAATTAATCAAATTTTAACTTACATTTTCTTCAGAACTTAACATTATACATTTTCATCACAATATATCATAATTATTTTACCATAGTATGGATTAACACGTGGTAGTTTTTCTTTCCAGATTTGATGTTTTTGAACAATATCTCCAATATCAAGTACATAGAAAGCTTCTTCTTGCAACCCACTCAATGCAATATCTTTGATGACGCTCATAACGTTTGACGCACCGTCCAAAACATGGATACGTTCGTCCAGATTTGTGACCTTCATGTTGATTGTTTTAAATTTCTAAGAGATACTCTGTAGGCACTAGGCAGCAAACTAAAATGTTTTAATATATTAAATTATATATTACTGAAATATAGTTTGTATATTATTTCCAATAAAATACTATCAAAAATAGTTGATTATTTTAATTTTGTAATTATTAAACACATACGAGGCAGCTGTCAACGAGAATTATGTGGGTCGTGGGGAGGCGGATTAAGACAAGATCACTATGGGGGTGCTAGCAAAGCCACGGGGGCTCTGCGTTCAGGGCCAACTTCCAGTTGCCGCAGGTATTCACACACCCACCAATAGACTGGCCTACCAGCCTATCGCAGATAGAACCCTAAAACGAAACATTAGTCTTCAATGTTATTATGTAATATTATAAGGAGCAAACAATTTCTTAATATACTTTTATACTAATGTTACAAATATTTTATTTAATTTAATTTACATTGTCACTGAATTCAAAATTTAATAAGTTAATTTCCTTAAACACAGCTAACTTAACACGCAATGATGGAGATATAAGAGTCTTCAATAATTGTAGATTACTCTTCTTTGCAGAAGACTGATCTATAAATATGAATCTAGTACCTCCTGTTGAACCAATACTTCAGAAACAAAAGTATAAGATTATAATAAAATCAAACAAACCTTTGTACTTATACTAGCTATTATAAATACAAAAATAATAACTTCAATTTTAATATGAGAACTTTTGTAATATGATACTGATAGGGAAATGCTATTGGCAGAATATATAAGATACAATGAGTCAGTAAATATAATTTATATGTACTAATATTATTTTATATAAGGTATGTCATTATTTTAAATACTTTACGTAGCATTGTTAGATCACACGTTATGATGATCAGAACAAGATTGAATTTTCCATGGCCATTGTATATAGATAACATACAAATTCTAGCGACACATGCCAAAAATTTTGCTATACTTATACATTAAATTTATCTTATCATATTTTATCAGATTTACCGATATATTGTTTTCCTGAGAAGTACGTCCATCTTAAGGTTACATTAAAAAAAATTCATACAAATTGTATGCAAATACTTATTAAAATTATTATTTTTGTGCAGTGTTTAAGCCAAAATAGGCACTTCAAATCTTTTAAATTTTAGAAGTTGCAGAAATATTTGAACATATTTTACGTAATTTTATATATTCCAGTATAATCATAAATTATAAAACTTTGTTAATTTAGTTTGAATAAAACTCCATAACAAGATATAAATATATAAACTATCATATAGTTTACATAACAAGAGACAAAAACAAGTGTTTAAAGCTCACCTGATTTTGAAAAGTAATTCTCGTAGCTTTTATAAAACGTATACAGAAATAAAGTATGAATGCAAAAATTGAATAACATTAAATTCTTCGTAGAGCAACTATCTTTAGAATAATTTATCCAGAACAATAATACAACACAAAATTACAGAGTTATTATATTGTTTTCAAATTGAAATTGTTTAACGAAGATGAGTTGTGGTCCCCTGAGAGTACAGGACAATACTGAACCTGAGCTAACTATTTGGGCCACTATTTATACAAGAAAGATAAGTGCTATCAGGCAGGCTTTGCGTGGTACCAAGTCTACTTCATGGAACAAAGCTTATCTGACGACCAAGAAATACATGTTTTACACAGATCCAATTGGACATGGAGGGGTAATGCACACGCCACTCAGAGATCAAGTCTTCATTGGGGGCATGGAAATACCATGTTTAATCTATATTACGCTGCTGAAATTTTCTGATTATGATCATTCATCAAACTCATTTAACTGATTACAGATAACATCTGTGTAACACATTTGAGAACAGAAATGCATATTGTAACATTTCTTATAGAGTCTCCACGTGGATCCTTGTCTACTCTTCATAATTTTATAAAAGAAAACATAAGTTTATATGAAGTACTCAAAACTGTAATACATAATCGTTCAAATAAAGAACATATGGAAACATCTTTGGCTGAAATATATCATATACATACACATATGGGTACATCATTTTTATACATATGTTTTTATTTATTATTTCTACATCATTAATATTAAAATTTTATTATTAATAAAAGAAAAGTAACGATACAAATGTAATATTAAGCTAACAACTAAAAATTATTATATTAAAATCATATCAATAATAATGATATAGATATAAATTACGTTAACTTCTATATTTGATAACCGAATGCATTACTAAACATATGTGAATCAATTTTAAAGATGCTAATCATGTTACACTGAAATTATGTTGAAATTTCAACTAATACTGTTAAAAATATTCAAAATGGAACAAAAAATTTTTAACATAGTAACAATTATATTAATTCTTTGCAAATAAGCATTCAGCCTATACATTGAAATTTGAAAAAAAAACTGTGATTCATTATGGTTTTACTGGTTTGTACAGGAAATATCAGACCGAGTTAGGTACAAACCAGCAACTACAAGATAACGAAGAATTAAAATACAAACTTCTCCGCAAACATGATATTACGAAGATGGTAAAATGTTTGCAAATAAGCACTATAGTAGCAACATGTATTATATCAAATGAATAATTTCAACTCGACCAGTTAACGTCGCATATGACAGATAAGGTATATTAATAAAATCAAAGACCGCTGGAGATGATGCAAAGATCACGAAAAGAAATCGACAAGACGATTGCGCATAATGTGGAAACGTATCTACAGGAAAATGGTGAAAATTATGATTCATCGGTTCAAAGTTACTTAACATCTTCTCAAAGATTGTTCTACGCCCAGAAGGCAACATTGGTGCAACAACAGTATTTTGTGATTCAGTGATGAAAGAAAATTTTCACGTGACAGACGTACGCCACCGACACGAGTACACCATAAGTTCCGAGGGATGAGGGCGAGCGTGCACGTATAACGTTACATACCTTATCAAATGATCGCCACCCTGCGGGTCGGCTCTCGGTTATTGACGGAATGATGAAAGTTTTCGGTGACTGGATCTCAAAAATCAGTCAAATCGTTCGGTGAAGGTTGAATCTTCGTTTGTATGGCGACCAATGCCTATCGAAATCTTCCGCAACCGATTCTTCGTTTAAAATGTCGAGAAAAAACATTCGTTCGCTCGTTCGTAACTGCTTAAAAGTTACGAGCGAATTTTAACGCACCGATCGGATTACGTTATAATCGTTTTTCGTGTCGAAAAATACGTTAAATCTGGCGAAATCCGTAAAACCTCCTCCCACGAACACACCACCGAGCAAGAGCTCTTAGGAAGATTCGCAAATGCATCCAACACGAGCACATTCGATTTTGTAACTCGAACTTCGAGGGTTTGAACTCGATAATCGAAGCTAATAGCATGGAATCGATTACTCGGATTCAAATTAGGAATATAACAGAATAAAATTACAGAATTTCACTGAGTTGCATCAATATTTTTTATTTACACTTAGTAATTTTAATAAACACACATGGTATCAGCAAAGTAAGCACTCAGTGCATAAAATTTATATAACGCTGTGGCGAGTAAAGTTTTATCTTTTGAAAAGATGAAACTGTTTCCATTTTCTAGCTATAGGTTCACTTCCAGAACGCCACCTCGTGGTTTACCGTTTAAAGAATAAGAGTAAAAAATGGACTACTTGAATCTTTTACATCTCTATCATTAACAAAGCTTTTATCACAGGCCATCTGTGTTTTTATCTTTTTTTCATTTTATCATTAAAGTATATATATTGTATTTGAAAAAAGCTTAGATTTATATAAATCAAAAGAAGTAATATTGGAGATAATAAAATATTGAGAAATCAAATTGTGTAATTCATATTCTAAATTTGAAAACTTTGTAACTTAATATTAACATTTATCATATATTATGTAAATATAAATCTCTAACAGATCAGGACCACATACAAAACACAATAAACTATCTCAAAGAAATCAATATGTTCAACAAGATATAAGACTGAAGCAGTAGATGCGATGTAAAATTTAAAAAACGAAGAACAAATATAAATATATATTTTAAATAACAAATTATGTAGTACATAAATATCAGCAATCTATATTATTAAGTACATATTAGTTAAAATAAATAAATTTACTCAAATATATTATTGTATGTATCAGTTTACTCATCTGAGTTTACAGAATTTTGTATGAAATACATATTTAAATAAAGAAAATTTGCAGATTTATGTTCAGCACAAAATTCTATAAAAATTCCCATTGAAGGGTAGAAGTGCCATTGCTGTGCAGAGTTATTTCATCGGTATTAAACAGAGGTATCACAGGGTGTAAGAAGATATAACCAAGAATAGAATGGAATGTCCAGTTTTTATTAGAGCATATCTTTCCCATAGATTCCTACTAAGCAATTATAAAAAATTTGGTTAAATTGGTCAGAAAGTATTTTAGGGACTGTAAGAAATGTAATATATATTTACATAGCCATTCAATTATAAATGTAAATATAAATTTCACGTTTATTGAACTAAAAAGTATTAAATTATATAAAAGAAGTAATATTTCACGAATCATTAAAATTTCAATAAATTTCAGATATTGAATAACAAATAATTATAAATAATGATAAGCACATAGGAGAAATCTGCAAGTATATAAATCAACTGATAGAGTGCTATTATGATGATATGTTGATACAGATGTGTACCATATTTTTTTAAAAATAAATTAATGAAAACTATATATATATACT